TTGTTAATTTTTAATCTGATATGGACGATTTTTTATCAACAGAGGTATTAAGGCATATGGGTCAAAGGCAGATATATGGAGTTAGGCCAGACATCAGCCATGATCTCATTGAAAGGTGGAATAGGCTCAAGGGGTTGAATGGCTTACTCCTGCTCTGTTGTTCCTACTGGCTGTGTTGTATGTATAAAATCTATATTACACCTTTGTTTTGTTTCTGCTAGTGGCACACACCAACCTATTTTATTCATATTGGAGCACATGACGAAATTGTTCCTGTACATAGATGAAAAAAAAAATTAGAAGGAACATTGCTGTGGGTCATCAGCAGAATTGTACTTGACAATAAGCTGGAACCACATGCCCTGGTATAGCCACATTTTATCGTTAGGTTGTGAAAAGAAGTTGGGTGAAAACATTGTAAATGCCCTCATCATCCAACATTTTCTCAATTAAAGAGCTTTTCTTCAGTTTGCAAAGTTGTAAGAGAAGGAACCCAGGAAATTATAGACTTGTTAATCAAAATCTGTTGTTGGAATGTTATGAGAGTCCACTAACAAGGTCAGAATGACTCCATCAGTTTGAACTAGTATGGACTTGTAGTTGGGTGTATCAGACAAACCTGATGAAACTTTGTGAAAGACTGACTGAAGGGAGAGAGAGGAATGTCTATGACCTTCCAGTAGGTGTTTGGTGACATTCCTGGAAAAGGATTGTTTGCCTAGATATTGGCAGTAATGCTGGCCTAGCAGCGATGCCCACGCCCTGTGAATGAATTTTTAAAAATTTCAAGAAAAATTCTTGAACTGGCTAGGAACTTGGCTGAGTGGCAGGAAGTAGCTAGGGATAATGGGCAGATACTCTAATTGGCAGGATGTGATACTATGTCTGGCATGGATTTGTTTGGAGTTTCAGTTTTTCAGCAAATTCACAGTATTTATTAATGACTTACATGATAGAATAGAAAGCCACATATTGAATTTTTCTGTCGAAATTAAGAAAGGTGGCATCGTAAGCTATAAAGCGAGAGGAGTAAAAATACAAGGAGGTTTAGATAGATTACGTGAATGAGCAAAACTTTGGCAAATAGATTTCAATGTAGAGCAATATGAGATTGTCCACTTTGGTTATAAAAATGGATAGAACAGGTGTAATGTATAAATAGTACAAAGTTAGAAACACTGGCGATCCAGTTACACAGATTAATAAAATTTCATGTGCATGTGAAGAAATAATGAAAGAAGCTAATGGAATGTTAATTTTAATGTCTGATTAGATTTGATTTGAAGTGGATAGAAGTCACATTTCAGCAGTACAATGATCTGCTGTATACAGTCTGAGCACCACAGAGCATACATTAGCATTGGAGAGAGGGAAATGTATATTTATCAGAAAGGTTAAATGACAATTATACAACTGAAGTTGTAGTCTCTGAAATTCAAAATGTTAAAGGATGGTTTCGCACAATTAGAGATTGTTAAGATGTAGAAGGAGGCCATTTGGCCCTTTGTGCCTGCTCTAGTTCTGTTGCCTAATACTCCCTTACTTATTTGATCAAAGGTTTTAAGATAGTAAGAGAAACAGACAGGATGGAGGGAGATAAATTATTTCCATTGGCTGTGCAGTTAGGACTTGTGTAAAATTCTACAAATTTAGAGCTAGACCTTTTAGTAGAGAAATAAGGAAACATTCCTCCACACAAAGCATAGTAGAAATTTGGACTCTTTTCTACAAACAGCATTTCTGCTTCTATACATCACTAGGACTGCTTATTTCCATTTCTGTAATACAGACTCCATCAACTTCTACTCCAACCCGTGCACTGAAATTCTTGTGCCAGCTTGCTATGTTTTTTAAGGATAATATTTTTAACATTAGATACTTTCTTGACTTTAGCATTAATAGTGATTTCTGTTAGCAGATCATTCAACTCTTGAATTCAGAATATGCTTTAACTTGTCTAATAGAAACCTAGGGTTAGTAATAAAGAACACACAGTCCCCACGCTAGCTACCGTTTATATTGTGTGACAACAAAATTACCATCTCCCTAAAAGGCAAACAAAAAGCTATTAAGTTTGATGTGTGTCAGCTGTGACTCAGCCACTAGCACACTCATCTCTGGGTTCAACTCCCACTTCGGTGTCTATGCAAAAAATCTACAATCTGAGACTTCAGATTAGTATACGATCTGAGGTGCCATCTTTTGGAGAAGGCAATAAGTGAGGGTGTCATGTACAAGTTTATGTGGGTGTAAGAGGTATCGTAACACTACAGTATTTGAAAGAAGAACAGGGAAGCTATCTTTGGCGCCCTGGTCAATGATTGTTATACAAAATATCATGCAAAAAGTATAGATTATCTGGTTATTACCACATTGCTGTCGGTGGGAATTTGCTGTGTGTAAAATTGGCTGCTGTGTTTCCTACATGACTACAGCAGCTAGACTGCAAAAGTACTTTGTTAACTGAAAAAAAAACTTTGAGACATTTGGTGCTAGTGGTTGCAAAATGTTCTATATAAAGGCACATTTTTATTTTTCAGTAAAACAAGTAATGAAACATTATATCACATTATAAGACAGTGAAACATAAGACATTTTTCCTCAATATATAAAATGTAGATAGCATTTACTTTCTATCCAAACAATATTTTTGAAAGTATCCTTGTAGCTTTTACCTGATCAAGCTTCTCTGTTGACCTGGCACAAGTTTAAACAAAAAGTCCTTCTGGTGCTTCTGGTAAAATAACAATGTTGGGTAAAACACAATTCCCATAGAAATACATTTCCAGCTGCTTTGAAGATATACAGAAACAAAAGGCAAGTGACAGTTGCATGGGTCACAATCTCCTGAGTTAAACAAAATCTTAGCAATATTTAATGCATGTTGCATTTTTGACAATGACAAGGAAATCCTACAATTGTCACATCTCCTGCCATTTAAATACATCTTTAACAACTTATTGCATGCCTGTAGCAATACACACCTTGTAAAACCATTAAGCTAACCTGACTTTCTTCAAGCTAGTGGTTTTTTTCCCTTTGGGAAATACATAAGGGTTTAAAGTCCCGCATGCCATTTCTAGTCAAATGAAATACAAGTTAGAAAATATACCAAACATCCTTAGCAGGATATGCTTCCATAGTTTTGCTCAATTCTGTTTCTTAAATGGAGTGGGAGAGGTATGGTGGGGTGGAGGCTGTGGTGAGGGCTCAGCAGGGGTGGGGAGATTAGCCATGGGAAATGTGGGGTTTCAGGGATAGAGTAGGTGGCGAGTCTGGGTGGGATGTTCTTTGGAGTGTCGGTGTGGACTTGTTCAGTCAAATGGCCTGTTTCCACACTGTAGGGTTTCTGAAGAAAAATTCCATGTGGAAGTTCATAAGCAGTTTAGGGGATGGGTTGGGGAAGTTTTGTTTCAATGCTAACAGAATCATATGAGTAGGGATTTAGGGGTTGAGGGTCAGTTTCGCATGTGGCCTTTGCTGCCTAGCCCAGTTCAAAACCACTCCCCATTGTTATCGGTCATGAAACTGCCACAGCCAGCTAAAAACACAGCCTGTAGACACCACTGCTCACCCCTCAAACCAAATCACCCACAAACTAGAGCCAAAGTACTCTCAAAAGGTGACTACCAGCCTGTGCTCCCTTCTACCTGTATGGACTTGGGTCTGTACAATGTGCATACACAGAACTGAAAGAAACAAACACAAGAGACATCTGGATCAAATTACATCCTTGAAAGCTAGACCACAGACCCAGGAATGTAAAGCCAAATTCCAGTACATCTTGGACAATTTGCAAGGTTGCTTACCCTACTCTGAAATTACTTTCATCTCTAAACCTTCTGCTGAACTGTTTTCCAATCATGTCTCACTATTCATCCCTCTGTTCTGCTGCCTGAATTGTTAACTATTTCCAGCATTTTCCATTTTTGCTTTTGATTTCCTGCAGCCACAGTGTTTTGCTTCTACACTGTTGGTAGCACACTCCAAATCACAAGGTTGCAGATTCAAGTCCCACTACAAAGCTTAAGCACATAAATCAAGGTTGATACTTCAGTGCATAATTGAGGAGTTGCCTATTGATTGAGAAAGTGAAGAAAGGACCCATCTGACTGCTTGGGTGGCTGAGAATGACCCTGGGCATTATTTCAAAGGAGAAGCAGAAAACTTCCAGATGGAATAAAAAACAGCAAAACCTTTGACTGACATATTTGATTTGCGTACTTTAAAGTCAAGCTCCGGTATGTTCATTTCCAAGTTTTCCTTTTCTTTCCCTTCTGAGATATCCTAGATGCCTGGGCCAATATAAATCTCTCAATCTACATCACAATATTATACATTATCTGGTCATTATCACATTGTTGTTTGAGGGAGCTGCTTATGTGCAAATTAGCTGCCACATTTTCTACATTAGCTTCAAAAGGCACTTCATTTCCTGCAAGTTCTTTGGAAAAGTTCTGAGGAAGGGTCACTCGACCCGACACGTTAACTCTGATCTCTCTCCACGGATGCTGCCAGACCTGTTGACCTTATCCGGCAATTTATATATTTGTCTTCTGTTTGAGAAGGCTATGGTGGTGAAAAACGCTTTACAAATGCAAGATTCTCCAACATTTTCTGTTATTTTTATTTCAGATTTCCACAAATACGCGGTATGTTGCTTGTAAAGGCAAGTATGTTTTTCCCTCTCAGGTTGGAAGGTTTCGCACAGCTCTCAAGCCTTGACCCTACAGTTCTTCAAGCGGTGATGAAGGGGAAAAAAAGTCGCGGGAAGAAAAAATCAGCAGGACTTGTCGAGCTGAAACATCCACTCCCTTTCTCTTCACACGATGCATTTTAGCGGGCTTTCTGTGCTTTTCTTTCAGATTCCCAGCAAATGTACTACTAACCACTTCTGCCTCAGAGGGGTACCAGGCGACTGAACCACCGAGGAGACTACAATTCCCGGCAGGCAGCTGTGCTACCGGCGGAAGCAGGAGGTGACCTTTGAGGGGCGGGTCTAGGTTGGCGGAGTGTTTACTTCCGGTCTGGCTGGAAGCTGCTTCTTCGCCTGAGCGTCTCTGGCCGGCTCCACAGTTCCGCCAGCTGGGGCTCTCTCCGTTCTGTGTGCACTGACAGAGAGAGCGCTTTCTGACAGACTCTTTAAATTGTCTCCCGTCGCTCGCCTTGCACTTTTGATGCTGTCTGGCCGTACTGTGGAAGGAGGAAGGCTGGAGGAAGCTTGAAGAGGTGCCGGCGGCTCTTCATCCGCTCAGCTATGGATTGGCTTATGGGGTGAGTGAAGGAACTTCAGAGAAAGAAAAAGCCCAGGCAACTGAGGGGCATTGGGTTTGGGCGAGGTGCTGGCGTTGAGTCTGACCTGCTTGCCAGCCCTCCCTCTCTTTTTATAGCTCAACCTGGGCCAAAGTGAGGGCCGTTTCTGCTTTGACCTGGGCTGGCAGAGCTACTTCATTGAATGAGAGGCGATATTTTCTGGAAGTTTTTAATTTAAAACGAAAGCATCCTGCAATGATGTGAAATAGGAGGAGAGGAGCCGTGGTATCTGCTTGTGTGTGCAGTTTATTGGATGTACTTCTGTTTTGTTATGGTACAGTAGGTTGGCTGAACTGTTTCCACGTTGAAATTTATTTTTAAATTAATCAATGATTTGATTTTTAAAAAAAAAATCAGTGATTTATTTTGTTGTACGATAAGTAAGGAAGTCGAAGGTCTGGAATGTTATCTGCCTACTAATGTTGAAAGCTCACTGTAAACTGTGCGTGATACTTGTACTGTAGAAGTAGGAGAGGAGAAATACATTTATAGTGTTTGTAAACCTATTCATAAAATTGCTATGTCATGCTGGAGTGTTGTAGCCCTTCTTTATTAATTGTACCTGACAAAGCCAATGCTTTTGGGCAAGTTTAATTTTAATAACTTATCATAACGCTTTTGAAGGTTGGAAATATTGGCAAGGCTTAACTTTTGTGCACTGTTACCTTGGCAATTCTTCCATTAGGCTGTGGCACAAGAGAACTGTTTATAACCAGTTTCTCAAGCAAAGCTGCTGAATAAGCAAACATGTATTTTTGCAAACTTTTAGTGCATCAGGTTGTCATGTGCAAAGTTTGAATAAGAGAAGCACTTATGGCAATTAAGTAATGTTTCAAGCTCTAATTTAAGAACTAACATAAACTTTGCAAGTTGTACACTCATTGGGATTAGAATACTGTCATGCCTAAGAGAATAAGATATAGATGTAGGTGCTGTATTATTCAGTAAAATAATGGCTGACTTAACTGTGATCTAACTCTATTTTCTTGCCTGCCCCATTTGACTTGCATGTTGTTCAAAAATCTGTCTAACTCCGCCTTGAACATATTCAAAGACGCAGCCTTCACTGTTTTCTGGATTACAATGTTTCAAAGATTAACAACTCTGAGAGAAGGAATTCCTTTCCAGCTCTGTGTTAAACAAGAGACTTTTCATTTTCCCTAGTTTTACATTCTTAATGTGGAAAAAATTTATCTCTGTATCTCCCCTTCATGCTCCATTAGGATCTTCTTTCCAATAAGATCATCCGTCATTGTTCTAAACTGCAATGAGTTATAGTCTCAATGCTCAAGCAAAGCTTTCACTTCAGAAATCACCTAAGTGAACCTCCTTGGATCTGCTTCCAGTGCAAGGATATCCATCCTCTAGCAAGCATACCAAAACTGTATACGTACTCTAGGTGTAAGTTCATCAATGCCCAACTCAGTTGCAAGATTTCCTGACTTTTATACTACACTCCCCATACAATAAAATCAACATTCCATTTGTCTTTCTAATCACTTATTGTACCTCCATGCTAGCATTTTGTAATTCACGTTTGAGAGAACCCAGATTAGAAATAGATTCCAACAATTTCTGAATGGCTGTTGTTAGACTGACTGTCCTGTGGTGTTCTGTTTTCTGTCTGCTATGTTTCTTGAATAGAGGTATTATACTTGCCATTTTACAGTCTGCTGGGATGTTTCCAGAATCTAGGGAATTTTGCAAGATTACAATAAATATATCCACGCTCTCTGCAGCCATTATTTTTTAAGAACCAATGATGTGGACCATCATTTCTGGGGGTGGGCATTAGTCTTTTGTCCCTTTAATTTTGCTGGTCTGTTTTTCCTCGCAATTGTGATAGTTTTAAATTCTTCCTCCCTTTTTGACCATAAATTTCTACTTGAGAAGCTGTTGGTGTTGTCTCCTGGCAATGCTATTGCAAAATATGTTAGCAAGCTTCTAATTTTTTGGTTTGATTTTTTTCATTCCTAATTCCCTAGTCTTATCTTTTAAGAGATGAATGTTTACTTTATTTTAGCTGTTGGATTAGCCTTTAACCCCATGTACGAGTCCAACTCTGTCTTTAATCCTTTATTACATTTAAATGCAATTACAAACTAGTTTAAAAATCCAGGTTTCTCAACCTCATCTGAGTGTGAAATTCAGTTATGAATGTAATGATCACACTTTTCAAGAGGATTCTTTACACTGAGATCCTTAATTAGTCTCCTCTCATTACACATTACCTGGTATAATATGACTCGTTCCCTGGCTGGTTCCAGAATATGTTGTTTTTCACACCCCTCCCAAATACACTTTGATTGTCCTAATGCTAACTGAATTTGATATCTATCTGACCTGTATGAAAGCAGCTAAGAAATTTGAATTCAGTTAGTTAACTAAATAACTTGGGAATAGTATGTATGAAAATAGTTACTGTAAAAATATAACTTCCTCATAACTGTCTTTTAACGAACTCAACTTATTCTGTTTAAGTGATCTGACTGCAGACTCTGTCATTTCATGTCTCTTAACCAGCCTCTGAAATTCAGACAACTGAATTGTTTCAAAATCATATGAAAAACCAGGATTAAAAACAAACAAAAAATGCATGGGCTACAATATGTTGAGTTCAGCACCATGACAAAGGCATACTCTGCCTGATCAGCCCTGCAAAATTTTCCTCACCAACATCTGGAGTCTTGTGCCAAAACTAGGAGAGTACTGCAGACTAGTCAAGCAACAGTCTGACACAGTATCTTATACACACAGAATGATTCCTTTGAGACAATGACCCAGACTCTTCTTCACAATTCCTGGGTATATCATGCCCAACCTGCAAGACAGACACATCAAAAGTGACTGTATGCTGGAATACGCTTGAGTGTGACCTTGAGATTTCTCAAAATCTTTTCTGGATGCTATGAGATTTCATGAATTTCAAACCAAAAAGATAGGCGAGAAAACTTCCTGCTTACTACTCTGGGCCTCCAGCAAAATTATATTCTACTATAATCTGTAAATTGATGGCCTGGTGTAATTCTCACTATCGTTCCAGCCAATGGAGTAGTGGAGCAACCCTGGTCCAATGAGTTGTAAACAAACATGAGTGGAGCAGCACCAAGCAAACTTAAAAGTGATGTGTCAAGTCGATAAAATTGCAACATGTAATCTAAACGTGAAAGAAGCATGCGATAGATAGGCAACTTAAGAACGAAAAGCTATGCTGATTTACCACATTAATTCATGAATATTGATGGACAATTAAACAGCAAACAGGAAAGGTGGCTGCATGAACACGTCTATCCTCAGTGATTGGTGAGCCCCACGAGGCTGTAGTATTTGCACTCATCTCCATCCAGAGGTGTTTAGTGGATGATCCATCTCTGTCTTCTCATGAAATCTCTAACAACACAACGCACCAGTCTTCATCCAATTCAACTCACTGTTTATGATATCAAGAAACGGCTTGGTATTCAGGATACAGCAAAGACTGTGAGAGCCATGACAAGATCCTAACATTATTGATGCTGAATTCCCCTGTCATCAATATTTGAGGATTAAGCATTGACCAGATACTAATTTTTCTAGCTGCATAAATATGGTGACGATGAGCAGATCAGAAGCTGAGAATTGTACAACTGGTAAGTCGCCTTTTGACTGCCCGAAGCATTTCTGCCATCTTCAAGGCATAAACCAGGGGTGCAATCCATACTCCACACTTGCCTGGCTGAGTGCAAGTCCAATGCACTTAATCCCTACTCCATCCAGGTGAAAAAATCTTTCTGATCATGTCAAAACACGTTGCATATATTCCATCAGTGAAAAACAAACTCCTGCGAAGAGTATTTAGGAATTTGAATAATGGAGTATCGTATCAGAGCTAAGCATAGTTTGTTTATAGAATTTTAATAGATTTGGGGGACATTCATTTTATGGCATCTTAAAAGTACATTTTGTCAATTTTTTGTTGTTATATCTATTATAACATGCTTTCCAGAGAGCAATTAAACTGTGTAAGAACTTTCCAAATATAATTTAAAATGCTGGTGATTTATTTTTAAATGTTACTTAACATTTAAAACATCCAATCTGGAAAATGTATTATGCAAATCAATACGTAGAGCCTAATTGGACAAAAATAGGTGACATTAGGCATTGGTGAATGTGTGTTAAGCCAAAGTGAAAGATTTGACATCTTTGTGAGGCCTCATGTATGAGTATTGATGTCAAATGGGTCATCTGGTAAGCTCATGTTTATTGAGCCAAAATGCTGTTCCTTTGTAGCCTTCATTGCCGAGGAATGCATTTGCTTTCTGTGGGTATGGCACACATATTTGTGTGACTTCTCAGAGAGGCTCTGCTTGCACATGTAAATCAATTCTTGCATTTTAAAAAAAGCATTAGTAATAAGTCATTATTCAGTCATGTTCTTTGTCATCACTTAGTAAGTATTCTTTAAGCGAGAGTGCTACTTGTCTGAGTAACAGATACACTACAGTTACTGGTAGTTCATTCATGATCGCTGCCTGTTAATGACCAGGATTAGGGACATTTAATGACATTCCTTTTCCCAACTGGTGTTAGCGCACCACTCTGATTAGCTAATGTGACATGACTGCAGATCAATCCTGGGGGTTTTCTACAAGAAGGTTAGAATATCGGAATAAAGAAGTCTTGCTGCAGTTGGAAAGGATTTTGAGGGCACACCTGGAATACTGTATGCAGATTTGATCCCCATATTTAAGGAAGGAATATTTATATTGAAGTCAATGCAGCGAATCTTAGCAAGATTGGTCTATCAATAAGAAAGTTGTCCTATGAAGAGAGACTAGGTAAAATGGACTTGAGCACTCTTGAGTTTAGAAGAATGAGTAGTAATCGCATTGAAACATTCAAAATTCTGAAAGAGCTTGACAGAGGAGTCATCCAATGTTTATTTCTACTGGCCAGGGAAGCTAAAATAAGGAGGCATT